AGGCGGATCTCTGTGAGTTTGAGGCCAGCCTGATCTACAGAGCCTGCTCCAGGACGTGCTCCCAAGCTACACAGAGAAACCCTGTCTCAAAGAACAAAAACAACAACAACAAAGAATTTGCATCTACACTGCAACAAAAAAAGTACACTGGATGGGAAACTAAGGATTTCTTGAGAAGAAAAAACACAATCACAGGGAAACAGTTTCTCAAGATACCCACAGAGAAAACTGCTAAAAGAACCAGGGACCTTCTAAGTTCAGAGGCAGCTGGTATTCAAAATTGAAGAGGGTGACTGGCCTTCTTGGTCATGAGGAAGAGGTCAGGCTAGCCAATCCTACCACACCTTCTCCTTTCCTATCCCTAGGTGAGCAAAACACAAGTCAGAATTCGCCTTATGTGAGTGGTTAGTGCTGGCATTCATCTCTGAAGTGTAGCAGGTCACCCAAGGTCGCCCACATCAGAGGCTGGCTGCTGGTCAATGCCTCTTTAGAAGACGTAAATTTTAGAACACAAACAGGGTCATTCACCCCTATACTATCAGTACTCAGAGGGCTGAGGCAGGAGGATCGACTTCAGTTCAAATCAGTCTGAACCACCCAGGTCCCAGGCTATCCTGGGATAGACAATAAGGCTTGTCTCATAACAACAACCACTGCACGTCCTGTCTCCTAAAAGATTTCAGAATTGACAGCCTCTGAAGTTAAGGAATGAAATAACCCACCGTCTTCAAAAATAGACACTCTCGTGCTTGGTAGCACATAATTAATCCCAGACGCAGGAGACAGGCAGGCAGACCTCTATCGGTTGAGACCAGCCGTAAAAAGATAGTTCTGGGATTACATGGTTCGAACCCAGAGACAGAGAGAGACAGAGAGAGAGAGAGAGAAACAGAGAAAGAGAGAGACAGAGCCTGGAAATTAAAACTGATCACTGAAATTAAAAGCACCAAATGGATACAACTCAAGAGGGGCTCTAGGAGCTGGAGGATCAAGTCAAGCAATTCTAGAATGAAGCCTGACGGAAAACAGCTGAGGGATGTTCCAAAATCATAAAGCTGGGGTTGTTTTGGTTTGAGGCAGGGTCTCATGTAGCCCAGAAGGCTTCAGATTTGACATACAGTTGAAGGTGACCTTGACCTTCTGATCCTCCTGAGTGCAGGGATGATAGGTGTGTGTCACTGTACTCAGCTTCTCTGGTGTATGGTAGGCAAAGAGCCACACCCCAGCCCTCTCACGGGCCTTTTATAAGGAAAACAAACTAAGATAATAATAATCAGGAACAAAGACAGAAAAGAGTCTTTCAACAGGATTAAAAGTTACTCAAGTAGGTTTTTTGTTTGTTTGGATTATTATTATTATTATTATACCTTTGTCCTGTGGCTTTATCAACCTGACATGACCTAGAGTCCTCTGAGAGTAAATGCATAGAACGGGTTGACCTATGGGCATGTCTGAGGGTACTGTCTTAACTGATGTGGGAGGACTCAGCCCACTGAGGGCAGTACCATACCTAGGCAGGTAGGTGGTCCTGGGTTGTTTAAGAAACCTAGCCAAGAATGAGCTTGAAAGCAAGTGCCTTTCAACTCCATGGTTTCTGTCTCCAGGTTCCTGCTTGATTTCTGCCAAGAATTCTCTCAAAAGGTGGACTGTCACCTGGAAGCTTAAGCCAAATAAAGCTTTTCCTCCCTTAAGCTTGTTTCATCACAACATAAAGGAACCCAGGACAACCAGGGTAATGATAAGTACCTTACCAAGTCAGTAGGCGATGGTGTAAAGCACCCTGGTTAAAATCCCATGTAAACAGGAATAATAGCTTCACTCACTGACAAAGGAAGACATGTTTCTTTGCATCTGATCGGAGAGCATCCCAGGCAACATGTCTATGAGGATAAACATCTCACACACCCTTGTGTATGTCCACCGATGTCCCCCTCCACCTACTCCAGAGAACTGAGTACACAATTTGCAATTCTTCAGTCATCTCCTGAACCTCATCAAGATCTGGAAATGTTCCAAGAGTTCCTGTCTGCCCGCAAACACACAAGCTGTCTTATAAAACAAGGTGCATGGCACGGGTTGCTTCTTATGGTTGCCTGACAAGTGGCAACTTATGGTTGTGCTTGATTTGGACTGACTTCAAAGTGTAGGCCATCGGGACATGAAGGCAGTTAAAGTTGCAGGAGCTTGGGGTGGGCTTGGCATCCACAGTCTGGAAGCAGAGAGAGATAAATAGAGGTACGTAGCTTTATTTTTTTCCTTTTTATTCAGTCCTAGATCCTAGCTGTGGGGCAGTTCTACCCATATTACTCTCTGAAAACACCCCCACCGACACACAAAGATCCTGTCTTGTAGGTGATTCCAAATCAAATCAACTTGACAATGAAGATGAATGACCACGCAGGACTATAAATCTTCAGATTAGCAATCTTGACTTCACCCTATTCCCTCATACGCTCAGACCTTCTCCCCCAATTTGCCTGGATCCTATCACAGCTGTCTTCATCTGTCCTTAGAATCCTCCATTTATCTTTCACATAGGCTTGTGTCAAGCTGACCCACGGATATTAACTATAGCAAGCCTACATTCTTGTGGTTGAAATTCCTCAGCTATTATGCCCATCCACACATGGCACAACCATACCCTGACTCCAGTGCCAACGACTTCCCCTTTAGCTTGGTCCTTGACAGCCTCAACATGGGCTGCCAACTGCCCTTCATTTCCTCCCCGATTCCCCTGGCTTTTTATAGGCGTTTCCCCAAACTCCAAAGTTCCCTTGTTGCCTGCCCATTTCCTCATTCCCAACAGTGACCCACACTATGAGGTCTTCTCGATGGTATTAGTGTATGGGAAATATTTTCTTTTTTGCTTGATTTGCTTACTTATTTAAGGCAGGTTCTTGCTGTAGAACTTGGACTAGACCTACAACTGGGCATCTTCCAGCCTCAGCCTCCTGAATGTTGGAATTACAGACAAGCACTACCAAGATATAACACAGCAGGGACCAGGGAGGTGGTTCAGTTGGTAAAGAGCTTGCCATAACTTGGATCCAGAGTAGCCATATGACAAATATCCAGAAATGGTAGTGTGTTCTTATAAATCCAGTTCTGATAAGAAAGATGAGTAGGTCCCTGAGCTCAATGGCTGGCCAGCCTAGCTTTCTAAGCCAGTTCCAGGTAAATGAGAGACCCTGTCTTTAAGGGGTGGGGGTGGAGGCTGGCTTCTGAGACACTATACTCAAGGTTGTCATCTTGCTACCACATGCGAACACATAGACAGAGAGATGTGACACATTAGAAAGATTGTTTTCTAGAAAGAAAAATCAGCTAGCGCTTTTATCTCCAACATTAACCCTTCTCAGTGCCAAGCCTGAAGCACACTGACTCAAGCCTCAAAACTTCTTCCATGGTAACTTCCAAGGCACTATTCCAGAGGACATTCCTTTCTCCAGCTTCTCTTCCCACATCCTAGAATAATCCCCACCCCACCCCCCCATCCATTCCCAGGGCCTCCTTAATTACTGTCATGCACTGGTGACACCTTAGTTCCACGCAGTCACCTAAATGCCAAGTCTGAATTTCTCTGAGTATCCCTTACAAACCTCAGTCTCAGCATGTCACAGCCAACTCCCTACCTGCCTTCTCTGCAGGCCTCTCTGGATTTAAGGAAACACCATCTACCTCTTTCCGCAAGTACTTTGGAAGCAAGGTATGTTGGTGGAGGACAAACACAGCATTTACAGATAGCTACAGAAGGATCAGAAGCTCGAGGCATCCTTGGCTGTACAGCAAGTTCAAGGCCAGGTTAGGATACTTGAAACTTCAAGTAAATAATTAAAAAAAAAAAAAAAAAAAAGTGGAGAAAAGAATTTTCCAGAATTGAAGACATAGGCCCACAAACTGAAATTGCACACTGAATCTCAAGTTAGATGGAATAAACCAGAGGGGTGGGGGTGGGTGGGTGAGGAGGGAGGGAGAAAGAAGAAAAGCCTGGTGGGTAAAATCAAGTTAAAACACCCAGAGTGACAGAGTGACATGACAAAGCTGCCTGCAAAGCAAGAATTACCCTGGCAGCACCAGCACCTTCCTCTTCTGCAGTCTGACAACAGAAGACGGGGTTGAACCTCTTCAAAGGGAGGGGCCAGTGACAGGACTCAGCCAGCAAGGCTGACATCCAAGTGTGACCCCCTGGCCCCACATGGTGGAAAGAGGTGATTCCTGCAAGCTGTGGCACACATTGGCACACTCCCAAACACACAAAGTGCCAAACGAGAAAGGAGGAAATGGTGGACCCACAATTCCAAAGCCCGGTAAGGGCTTTTCTAGACACGCCGGGCTCAGAACCTACTAGGCACGCACAAGAGCACTGCCTTCAGGAAAATGAGCCAAGCATGAGTGCAGAAGGACTCTGGGAGCCGACCCAGTCTGCACCTTACCTATGGAAGACAAGGTGTGTGAAATGTCTCCATTACCCCCAGTGCAGGGACATGGGGCTCAGTGTAAACTGACAGACTAAGGCAAAGAGTCAGTGGGCAGGGGCTATGTACTGAGAGGGCCCCGCAGGGAAGGCTCTTGTCTCACAGACAAGCTGAGTTGGATCCTCAGAACCCATGAAAAGGCAGGAGGAAGCAAACACTTCCTGAAGTACGAGCAGGGCTCTGACTAGGGAATTTTTACTGTTTCCTTGAAATTTAGTCTCAGTTTATCAGAGGCCCAAATTCCTAAAAGTTCAAATAATGGAAAGAGACACACCATTGACAATGTTTACCAGATTGCTAAGTGCAAAAAGATTTATATAGTTATCAAAATGTTAAGAACCTATTTTATTTTTGCCAAAATGATCTTATCATTTTCATTTGATAATTCTTCTATCCCAATGGATTTGCTCAGTTTTCTTTCACCATTTCTTAGCACATCCAACCACCTGTATTAACTTTATAAGACTAGCCTACAGTTAGTTCCATATTCTAATATACGGCATGAAGAAAAAAGGACTCACACAAGGTGATAATTACATATTTAATACATCTTGCTTTCAACAGCAATTTTCAAAGTAAACATATCATAGACCTTATAACTTATTAAAGATTTTATAGTGTTTACAAATTTGATTCTAAAAATATACCTTATTTGTTCTAAATGAATAACATCTGAAAGACAGAATAATAAATGATAGTGTGTTTGCCATGCCTGCCATTAGGCTTGCAAACACATATTCCACGCGGAGTACTCTTGGGATGTTCGCACTCTTAGCCTGAGAACACAAAGCACATTACACTCTGGAGTATAAGATTTCAGCCTTGCTTTAAAAGAAAACAAACAAACAAACAAACAAAACAAAACAAAAAAACTGAAAATATCTACTTGACACTGTAGGAAAGTATGGGCACATGCACACACAGACACAAGTACACATTTTCTCTCACACAACACATAAGCACACGCACACCACAGAACTCAGAATTTACCCTTGTGTGCCAGATAATTAACAATTTCAGAAAAGAAAAGCAAGTGGAAAGTCAGCTGATATACTTAAACCGTAAGTAAATGGCAGGAGTTGTTAATGAGATGTGCCAGGAAGCTCTGTGAAGTGCTCTCTTGATTCAATCTCCAAGGACAGGACCATTCAGGGACACAGGGAGTTAGGCATCCACCATCCTCAGACTGCACTTGTGAAGGTAACAAACTTGGGCCTGCCAGAGCTAGTCAGTTATAAGGCCCAGCCCCACCAGCATGGCCTGCTTTCTTGAAACCAATAATTCAGCACCTTCACTGTGATCTGTTTGGTATTCCTTAATCATCCACGTGCTAAAGCTGGGAACTTCATAACAAATGACAGCTGGTATCACTTTGGCTTCTGTGGCAGAGAGAAAGCTACACAGTATTCCCCAAACACATTTATGTGGTTAAATCCCCTAATTTTTAGTTACCGGTGTTTGGCCAAATTGAGACTCAAAGCAGGTTCATGCTCATAACCTCCCTTGACATCACAAACACCTCTGGTAGTGTCCGTCAACACAGGAGAGTATTCTTTGGATCCCTGCAGGGACGCAGGTTTAATGCCACCCTATGGAGGTTCACGGTTACCGCCCATCTTTAGGATTTAAACCTTTGAAACAACAGCAACAGAAACTAAGCGCATGTGGGTGCTCACAATGCACGCAGCTGATCAGAATCAGGAAAAGGCACAACAGTCAGTGAGAGGGAAAGGCCAGCTGCCCAGCTGCTTTCTGCTTGTTTTTAGCTTTCTTCTTCTGCCTGACTAAATTTCTAATTGTTCAAAGCATCCTTAGTCTCTGTGATAGTAATAGCATAGTTTGGCACATCAACATTGTGATACAATGCATGGTATGTTTAAAAAATTTAGAAGTTTCATGTACTCATAAACATATCTTTCATGTAGTGCACATATATCTTACATTTATTGAAATCAAATACCGAAAGGTTGGTAACTGATTTACAGAAGCAATCGCAATCACAGACTGCAGAATTGTGTGTGTCACACACACACACACACACACACACCAATCAAGGAAAAACTGCATCCTCGCAATTTTACAGTCCAAAGTTTCGTTGGTGTGCCTATCATATACACGTCGCTTTCCCATGGCCTCCTAGAGAAAAGACAGATTCTGCCTTCTTCATTCTTGATGAGATTTTTCAGGAATAACTTTACATTCATACTGCAAAGATTAAAAGGTCAAAAGGTTAACAGATTTAAAATCACTTGTGAATTACAACTTCCAAACAAATTTAAAAAGCTATAAAAGGGATGATTTAATATGTGTTCACTTTATTCCTCAAAGAACTAGGAGTTACACAATGGCACTCTTAAAGTGAAAACCTACAGACAGCAGTGGAGGACATCAAAGATGACAATTTCCATACTGAAAACTGCAATAGCTGGTGCTGTAGGCAAACCTGTGACACAAAGGGCACAGTGTGTTTGTGACCTCAGAGATCAGCCAAGCGCAAGCCATGAACTTCGGGACAATACTGAATTCAAATCATTATTTCAAATCACTCTATGATTAAACAGAAAAATAGATTGCAATATAAAGGGTCCAAATTAGAACGATATTCTAAAAGTACAGCTACCAAAATGAATAGTTTTAAAAACAGGAAATGCACAGAGTTAGAACTGGGTGCTCAGAATTTCAAAACGACAGCAAGTAAATTACAATTCTCCCAGCAGGCCAAGCTCAAATGAGAGCAGTTACTGCTGTGGCCTCTGAATGTCACTGTGTAACTCTTGCCACACGACCAGGGTTATCACAGTGTCTTTTCCACTATAACTAAAACAAGTATCTTAATCAGCTTGAGATAGTCTTAATTTATAAAGACTATAATAATAGTATGCCCTTTTCATTTTTAAAACTGTTCCTTTACCAGGGGCTGAAGCTGTGTGTGGCTCAGTTGATGAATGTTTGCTGAGTATGAAAGAGGCCCAGGGTTCAATCTCCAGGACCACATGATCCCAGTGTAGCGGGGCAGGCCTGTAATTCCAGCACTCAAGAGGTGGAAACAGGACCAGAAATTCAAGGTCCTCCTAGGCTACAAAGGTCAGTTCAAGGCCACTACTTGAGACTTTATATCAAGGAAAAAAAAAAATAGTCTTTGTTGATGGAATAGAAAACTGTAAACTAATAAAAAACAAAGCAACAAAAATCAAATATCACTATATGGTCAGCAAATTCTACCACACTACCCATAACCTATTTTTTCTTTTCTCTCTAGTTGTTCCTCAGGTATTAACACTCCTCAGATTAAATTCACCCAAATGATTTATTTCAATGAAAGTACAAAAGAGAGTTCAAAGAACATGGTCTTCATCGATGCTCTCCTTTGAGTGATGGTCATTTTTAGGAATGGTATCATGCAACTCACACTGCATGGGCCTCAGCTTACCATTGCCAATTGACGGCCAATGTTCCCCATTGTTATGCCTCCAGCAAAAAATATACATGGCAACCAAGAACGGACATACAGAAAGTCTGGAGATGTGTACCTAGAATAATAGAAATATTTTAACAGTCCACAGAACATAGACAAGGGCACTCAAGACAAGCATAATGAAGGTATGTACTTCTGTACATTAAACTGGTTAACCCTATGGAGATCCCCAATTTTGAATACAGCACCCAGGTAACACGAAGGACAATACTTACTGATAAACACCATTGTAGACTAGCAGCTGGGTGACAACAGTTGCTAAGAAAGCGATTCCAACACCAAGGCCAAAACCACTTCTAGATCTGTCAAACGTCCACCACAGCCCTACTGACAGTGCAGCCAGTGTGAGGGAAAACTGGAAGTTGTTGTCGAAGTCTACTTTCTGAGACCAGTGCTAAGGAGTGAGCCATCATAAGACAAGGAAGCAGGTGACACGGACTGTTCGGCTCTCTCTAGTGAGAGAGGCCACTCTTGAGGGACTGGATTCTTCAGGAGTGTCCCCAAATTTATATCACAACACATGAAGTTAGGTGCAAGCAAAACTATGTCTAAATACCAAACACGATGGGCATTAATTAACAGATCCTGCCTTCTTGTACCCCATCCAGACAAATTAATAAAAAAAATGGCTATACACATTTCTAATTGTGAAGTCAGGCACTCTTTAGGAAGTGTCTTTATGGCTTAATATGTAAATGTGCACTTTGGATCGTAGTACTAAAAGAACACTTTTTTAAGAAAAAAAAAAAGAAAAAGGAAGAAAGGAAGGAAGGAAGGAAGAAAAAAGAAAAGGAATAATACGTCTCAAAAAAGTTTGGAATTACTTGAAAATCATAGAGGAACTTGGAAATAGGAGGGCTGACAGCTATTTAACAAGGTACCACATTGGCTGTGTGATTTACTGACAGACACATTTTATAATAATGCAGTTCAGAACAAGAGGACCAAGGACACAGCATCCCTTCTATTATGTCAACTGCTCTGGTTTTAATTTGTTGAGGATAAAGCCTTGAAGTGAACATTATCTTCCCCCCTGCCAAACTATTCTAGTGCCTATGACTTTCTAGCAAGGCACTTTGCTCCGATATTTTATTTCTGGCACACACTTGAGCATCTATTCACAAATATATGGCCCCTTTTACTCAAAAAAAAAAAAAAAAAAATCTCTGAGCAGAATGAAGCTTTACAAATTCAATTTTCTGAATTTTTTTTTTTTTTTTTTTTTTTTTTAGCTAGAGGATTACACTACAAAATTTAATTCTGAGTGTCACTAAAAAGGTATTTTCTATGCTCCAAAGGTTCCACCTTTGGACTAGACTAAAGATCTGACCTAACTAACTGGCCTTGCCAGTACTACAAATGTCCTTTCTTTGCCCCCTAAATATTCCGATTCCAGTGACACCACACTTCCCCCACCATTCCCACATTCTCACTAAAGCAGCATATAAAACCCTTGCTTGCCAAGTCCTTGGCCTCTGAGGACAGCTGTATGCCACTCTCTTAAGATCGGTCCTTGTGAGTGGCTGACTTATCAAGAAACTAATAGTTCCTCTGGGCAAGTTTCTCTCTTCTTTTAGCTGTCCTTGTATGTACATTCCAAACGCATGGTTCTCAGCACCTCTGTGCAAGAGTCATTCACATAAATAAAAAACAAGAATAATGGGGCCCATCTTGCTAAATGAATTAAGTTATTTAGCACAATAATGAGGCTTTTCGGATAAGCCGGTCAAATACATCAATTTCAGAAGCGATACCTTGTGGTTTTCCAAAGTTTAAGCAACCTAATATGAAAAGTCTTGGCTATAAATTTTGTAAACATTTTCTATTTTCTTTAAAGGGTAGACATGACAGCTAAGATTGCTATGTTTAAGTATTTCACTTATAAACAGAGGGAAAAGTGAACAAAGCCAAACATGTGTATTGTATGCCAGGCTTTTAAAGTTGTAGAAAGGGCTGTTTAAGTTCTTCTACTTAAGATAAAAAGCAGCGAGCCTGGGGAGAGGGCTCCGTAGGTAAAGGGACTGCTATGCGAGCAGAGCAAAAGAGGGCCCTAGCGCCCCATGGAAAAGCTGCGGGAGGGGAGACAGGGAAAGGTGTAGGAAAGTCACACAGGAGCTTAGCAGTCTGTAAGCCAACTGAGAATTTAAGTTAGAGAGCCAGAAGGAATTAAAAGGGAGACATCCTGCATGTCTGGATAATGCTGCTCCTGAGAGCCAGGGGCTACTAAATGAAAACCCCAGTGCCAGGTGGAAGACACTTCTTGATGAGTTGTTGGCCAAGGAGACCCCAGAGGCTTCCAAAGCAATTCCGCCTCTTACTATTGCTCTTGGTTACCTACCAGAGCTAGTTGGTGAGAAGACCCTATGCTGAAGATAACACAAGGTGTAATGTATCAGTTGAAAGCTTCCCCCTGCTGGCTAGCTTTCATGAAGCTCAACTGGCTTTACCAGTTTGTGGGGGAGAAAAGGCATCTTACTGATCTGTGAGCTTTACAACACCAACCTCCCAGGCAAGATACGTGCACAGGTATCACTGTGGTACCACTGTGATGGGGGCACCAACCACTCTCTTCTTATATTCCAAGCTCAGTGCACATTTCATAGCTGGTACTGTAAACCCAGGCAGGAACCCAAGGCTATGGAGGGCTTAGGCCCTAGTGATGCTACTGTTGTTGTCATGGTGCCATGCCATCTTCTAAATATGTACATGTAGACTCCAGGAAATTGCTACCCCACCTTCATCAGAGAAGCCTCTTTTTGCAAGGAAATGAGTAAGGGGTAAATACAGATAAAGATGGCTGCTCAAAGTGCTTGTTCCTACACAGGATTTCTATACTGTCCCCTGCAAGATTAAGGGTCATTGTAGAAGGGGACGTGGAAAGGATATAATGAGCCTGAAGATGCGGAAAGGACAATGAATACTTTCTTCTGGACATGAAACAGTGAATGCAGAATTGACTTCGTAGGGCTGGCTGTCTACACCGGCATATCGATAGTCAAATATGGATAGAGAGAGGCTCATGGAGCCCTACCTCCACCTCTCCCGCTGAAGAACTGGCTACTGATGGACTGAGGGACCAGGAGCCATCCTGTTCAGATGTACGCGCAATGAGGAGCCCACCAAGCTCCAAAGGGTACTTCTAAACCCACTGCCATGCAGGTAATGCTGGTGAAACTCAGTTCCTTCTAAACCCACTGCCATGCAGGTAATGCTGGTGAAACTCAGTTACTTCTAAACCCACTGCCATGCAGGTAATCCCTGTAGGGAGGAATAGAAGAGAGAGAAAAGAGAGGGTGGGGATCACAGCAATCAGCGAGCAGGGTACACAAAAGGTATGAAACTGTCCAAGAACAAGCTCAATAAACATTATCAAAATGAAAGAAAAGGATGAAGTCAGGATGAGAGGCTGAACCGCACTGGTAACGATCCAGACTAGATTGAAACAGGTTTAACAAGTTGATCACATTGTTTCAAAATGAAAACTACAAAACAGAAATGTTGAAACAAAAAACCCAAACAAACAACAACTGCAACAAAAAGCCACTCCAGAGGCTAAAGCAGAAGGGTCAAAAGTCAAGGGCAGTTAGAGTTAGTAGCACAGGAAGACACTATCTTATAAAGAAGATGGAGGAGGGGGTGCTTTTTGGTGCTGATTAAAATGAATAAATGTAAAATAGACTTTAGTACCTAAAACTATCTGGGTCCTTACCTGAAAATCCTAAATTAAGAAAGAAAGTTGGGGGAGCTTTGAAAATGTACCTGCTTTTGAATGAACAAAATTACATGTAAGGATTTAGTAGCCTAAGGAGCAGAGCTCCTACAAGGACCTCCTGCTCTCCCCTCACACTTGCTGCCCTGGTGTCTCAATAACTGGGTCAGCACAGCCTTGTGACTGAGGACATCAGAGTTGATCACGGGGGTTGCAGGATGCCTCATTACTGCACGTTTCATAAAGGATACAGCACTGGCATGATTGATACCTACGAACACCGCCACGCAGCGCATAACACTGGACCACTCTCTCTTAAATTTATGTGGTTCTCCTAGATGCCTGTCAATGCAGGGGTACAATAACCCAATCACAGCTGTGAACAGAAGAAAAGAAAAGTAAGTCATGACCAGCACTGCACTGGTATCAATTAGGCTATACAAATCACTACAGCCACTGCCTTCAAGACTCTTCAAAAAGAAAAACGTTGCTGGCATCTTCAAACTTACCTTCCAAAGGGAAACGAGGGTTGGCAGTACCACTGCAGAAGGCTGAGGACGCTGCAGCACCCTAAAGGTTATACTCACAGGGAGCCAGAGACGCTAACTCATGCAGCTCCTAACACTTATCTTCCGAGACATGACAGCAAACACCAAGTCAGCCCATGGTTACCCTCTAGTCACTTAAGTGTGTTATTTGTTACAAGAAGAGTCTAAAGAGAAGCTGGGCAGCAGGCCTGTGAACTCACCAGGCTCCCAAAATCCTGACTGCCCTGCCCTGCCCTGCCCTGCCCTGCACCCCACACGCTCCTCACAGTCTTCCCCCACCTTTCCAGAACCACTCTACTGACAACGAGACTCCACGAATATTCCTTCTACACACAGAAGGGAGGAAGAGCACGGGTACATAAAAACCACAAATCTCCTAGGTAAGACAGTAGATATCTTTAATGCCAGCACCAGAGCAAAAGGAGACAGGTCTCTGAATTCAAGGACAGCTCAACCTACTTAACACATACTCTGACACCTGTGTCAAAAACAAGCAAAGAAACCATACAAATTTACAGATAACATGTGAGTTTGCTGTTAAAGGGTAAGAAGAAAATCTCAGTGTGGTTTTTGCTTTGGGAAACATCTTGACTCCTATCTGGGAGAGTAATCATAAATACAGTACCTGTTTATAAGATATCCATGACTAAGACCTCAACTATTCTCACTCTATCCCCAACTTTACTCACCAAATCTCAACATTTTACTTACTTAGCAGACATGAAATCTATGTGTATGTTTTGTGCATGTTCATGAGTGTGTTCAGGAGCATGTGGTGAGTGAAGAGCGTGTTTAGCTGTCATTCCTCAACCACCATCTACTTTGTTGTTTGAGAAAAGGTTTCTCACTGCCCTGGAGCCAGGTTAGTGGCCTGATAAGTCCCAGAGACTCACCCGCATCCATCTCTTCTGCAATGGATTACAAGCATGGGCCACCAGGCCCAGCCTTCTCTTCTTCTTTAATATGAGTGATGAGTGGCCAAACAGGTAGGTCCTCACGCTCCCAAGACAAGCACTTCACTGACTGAACTATCTACCAAGCCCACAAGAGAAATTTATTTATTTGCCTGAGATTATTCTTTAAATTTGTTTGTTAGGTATGCATGTGTGTCTGTTAGTATGTCCATGTGCACCTGGGTACCCATGGAAGCTAAAAGAAACAAACACAGGAACCCTTGAATTACAGGAGGATGTAAGCCACCCAGTGTGGGTGCTGGGAGCCAAACCCAGGTCCTCTGAAAGAACAGTAAGCACTCTTAACTTTTGCACCATAAATCCATACAAATACTCACTCTCTTAAAATTGAAATATAAATTAAAAGGGTAAAAAGGGAAAACTGGAAAGCAATTATTATTCAAAGCCACAGGCAAGCGGAACAATGCAGCGGCACGGGAAAGAGACGACCTCCCTACTGTCACCTGGCCATGAGACTGGCGCTCTATGCTCTTTCCACCTCAGCTCTAGCTGAGAACTGATGGCTCACAGGCCACCCTGAGACAGAGTGACAAGCTGAGCAATGCAGAGCTCCAATGGCTGCTAGAAAATGAAAGTTCCCGGGTCTGTGTGATATCTCAGTTTGTGAAGTGCTTGCCTTGCAAGCCCAAGGAACTGAGTGTAAACCCAGAAAGAAAACAGGGACAGGCAGGGACAGCCCAGGATAGCCTTGGGCCTCCACATGCATACATATATGTGTACCTGCACATGCATGAACATGCACAAGCACACACACACAAAGAAAGCCCACATTATGGGTTATGGTCCTATTTAAAACACACTACTGTGAAAAATCCCACTGGATTAAGTGACAGCACTTCTAAATTTCTACATGATTAAAATGACAAGCATGCCTAATAATTGAAACATGTCTAAATGATACTTTTTCCTCAAGGGTGTCATAGAGCAGCCCATTTGTCGCTCTACCATTCTCTATACAACATATGCATATACATATATAGATGCATACCAATACTGATGCATCTACCTACCTAATGGTCATCTAGCATCCGCCCATCCACTATCTACCACCCATTATCATCTGTCATCTACCTATGTAGCAGCTAATTTCTCCTCAGTCCCCTGCATCTTTCTCCTGTTTGCCTGTGGCCAGAGAAGTCATTCCAAGTCAATTTTCCTCAGCAGCTGACGCCATAGGTAAAGAATTATCACACACAGACGCTGACGTGTGTGTGCAAAGGTATAAGTAGGTAAAACTGACTATGTTCCTATGCAAGTGAGAGGCAACTGACATGGGAAAGGAAAACACAAAGAAGGAATTTAAACGGCACGGCCATGCTGCCAACCTTGGGATTTGCCAATGAATAACCCAAATCCGCTGAGTATCCATGGTGCTCAGCTGCTCACTGAGAGGGAGAATTTGGGGAAGCTTGTCACTTCCCATTAAATGTCTTTCTTTCTTCCCTTTGAATAAAAGCATGGCAGACAGAGGCTGATAGGAATATACACAGCACAGTGAGGATCCACTGTCTGAGAGCTCAGTGGAGTATGTCTGGGCTTCCTCTCCTCTATGCACCACTTTTTCTTTTTTTTTTTTAACAAGAGACTTAAAATCATGCTGTGTAAAATCATATGCAAATACAACGCCGCTTAATCAGATGGCTCTCTGATGTAAAATCGCGTGTCTTCTGATATTTTTAAGTGATTCCCAGCAACAGTCTGCCAAGACCAAAGACAAAAGGAGTCTGCACCAGTAGTACGCCGTCGCTCTCCCGGGGTGGTGTGCTCAGTGCAGTGAGAGGCGAGGCAAGAAAAGGAGCACAGTTACGTTAGACATCGGGGACGGGACAGCCAGGCCATCCAGCAAGACTCTTCCCTGGGAGACTACAGCAGAAGCCGGAAGCACAGCATGTTTTCATTCAGCACACACTCAAGCCTGATAATGTATCTCGGTCTTGGTATTTGCTGGGGATTTTAAAAGGAAAAAGAGAGGGTTGGGGAGATGGCTAAGGTGGCGGTGAAGGGCTTGCTGTGTAAGCCCGTGGACCAGAGTCTGATATCCACAATGTACTTTAAACACACACACACACACACACACACACACACACACGCGCGCGCGCAGGCACGCACGCACGCACGCCCAGACATGTACATATTAATCAACAAGAGGAGGTGTTTTCCTGGCAAAATGACAGACACTACTGAATGCTGGATTAAGTATAGACAAGTTGCTGAGGCGCTCTCATCTTGTGCCTGCACATGAGGAGGGTAAAGTGTGCAGCTGTCCAGAAGGGTCCTCGGAAGCGACCCTGTAGGCAGAAGCATGGAAACAATTTTCTCATCAAAGGGAGGTGCCTGAAGAAACCAAGGGACAACCAGAACAAACAGCATTCCCGGGAAACTGTAAGGTTTGAAGGAAGGCTTGACGTCCAGAAAGGCTCAGAGTGTTATAAAAGTGGTCAAGAGTATGTAACAAAGGCAGAGAAAAAGGACTAGTATCTCCAAGCCCAAGGGGTAGGGCCAGACCACCAAAAGGAATGATGCAAACTCTGTGGGCTCGCCATGGAGGTGGAATAGGGGAGGATGGAGACCTCTGGAACAAAAAGGGGAGGAACTGTTTCACTAGAAGAATCTTTAACTGAGACACCTGTTCTACTTCTTTTAGCCACAACAGGCAATTGCCTTTTAAAATATTTACTCTTTGGGGCTAGGAATGGTAACTGTAACCCTCCAAACCCAGCACCCAGGAACTGAGAGCAGAATATCCACAAGTTCAAGGCCAGTCTCACCACAGAGATTTGAGGCCAGCTTGGGATGCATGAGATTTTTATTTTGTTGTCTCAAATATAACGGGACAATAAGAAGATACCCTTCATAAATTTCTTTGGTGACTCTAAGAAAGGGGTTTTCCAATTCGGGCCCTGGTGCAACACACATATAAAGAAGTCCACAACAACACCAGCCTTGCTAAGCTTGCATAGGCCCTTCTGATGAAGACATCACACACTCTGATCACAAGGCACGGAGAAGTCACGCTGGTTCCGACAGGAAGCCTCCTCCATACCGGCTAGTTTTCAGAGAACTAAAAGGTGCTGTGTAGGCAACTGGGGGGAGGGGTCATCAACAGTTTTACTCAGCTATGAGCCCTGTGAGCTACAATAACTGGCATGCTAAGATACGCCCATGGGTACAATGATGGCTAGAATGTCAGGGAATCCCCACAAGAAAATGCATACAGAGAATGTAAATCATGCCAAGAACCCAGAGCTGGGGAGCTCACGAGCCCCAGGGAGAATCTACTACTATTATTTTGCTAAATGGACACACCTGTATCTCTATGGGCATAGACCAGTGCAGCTATCACATCTCATTGGAGAAGTTTCTTTGTGTAGCAGATGGTAGTTAACACAGAAACATACAAGTGGTCAAAGTGTAGGGTTAAGTGTCTGCACAGGGCTCAGGCACAGACTGGACATCTACATCACAGGCCCCCACTCCGAGGCTTTACAACCATCAGAGAAGATAGAGTAGAAAGACTGTAAGCACCAATGGTCAGGGAGGACCCTGGTGTGAACTCACAGTAGCTGTGCTGCCGGCACAAGACGATGCCTGTCAACATTCCAGCACCGAGCAGGGAACACCCTCCATGAGGAGCTACCAACCGTGATGGCTGCTGGAGAGGAAGAATCTGTTTCCTTTGAGCATGTGGCTCCAAGTAGGTGAGCCACTATCCAGTGGATAGCCCACATCCATTGGTATATGGGAAACACAAACTGTATTTGGAGTCAGTGAGATTAAGAGAGGAGGCCAAAGGTGAGGATGTGAAGTTGCGATGGGGGGTAAGGAAGGAGCAGGGAGTGAATCTGATCAAAATACATTGAATGGGATGAGTGTGGTGGCACTGGCCTTTAATCTCAGCACTCAGGAAGTAAACGCAGGTGGACCTCTGAGAGTTTTGGCCAGGATGGTCTACATTGTGAACCCCAGGCCAGAGTTACACAATGGGACCCTATCTCAAAACAAACAAAAGACAAAATTGCATATGTATGAAATTCTCAGAGTTAACACAAATATTATACCTACTGAAAATATATACATATACAAGTAACATTATGTGGACAGAGCAGGTTATATTTACATATTAGGGGTGTGTTTTGTGTGTGTGTGAAACAACAATCACAGAAATAGAGGTCATGAAGTTGAGAGAACAAGGTGAACCACATGGGAAAGGCTAGAGGACAGAAAGGGAAGGGGAAAACTTATTATATTTTAATATCAAAAAATCCAAAGAAATCCCCCACCCCAAATCCTCAAAAAAAAAAAAAAAGAAGATGAGAAAATGGAGTGTGATCCACAGAAGCTTGTGAGACTTGCCCAGCCTCAAGACGCCACCAGCTTCCAAGGACCACACTACAGAAATGGGTGACTCTGTCCCTTTACAGTAGAAGTGATGAGACCCTAAAGTGGATAGCTGCTAGGTCTAGGAACCCAAGGATCCCAAGTGATGAGGCTGCACACTGAGCTGCATCTTGGAGGACATAAAAGAACTAGAAGTTATTGGGAAACATCTTCTCTTCTGAATTTAAATGAAGGAAAATACCGGTAGATCAGTAGATGCATCAAAGAATGGTAAGATACAAGTTCTCTTGTCTATTTGGACTATTTCTTAGAGAGGGATTACCCCGAGCAAACCAGGATGCAACACTATGATGACTTCTCTTAACTGAGGGCTCTAACAGTTTCAAGGCTATCTAAGCCATGTGGAATCTGACTGCAACAATGTTCATCTGTCCATGTAGCAGAGGTGTGTCACTGCCACGGGTTTCATGAAATTCTTTAAAGATATACCACAAGTCAACCCTAGCTTTTGGACAGACATGTCTGCAACCTCTAGTTCTAGGGTGTAGGACAAAAAGTGCCCACATTGTGTCACAAGGTATTCATGTACACTAAGTACAGCCATTTTCTCCCACATGGCTATGACTACCTTCTATTATGTTATCATCTAAAGCAGTATTGACCCACTGACCTTGCAGTAGAAACAGCTAAAGAGCTGTCCATTCCAGAACTCAGCATCACTTTGAGCATCTGGAAAGGCTCCATTTAACCAACAGTGGTCCACTACTGAAAATGGATGAAGTCACTAAGAGACCATCAGGATTTTAAGCAAAGACTGTCTACCTCATTGATCTTTCCAAGTATATACTACTCTGCTGGTACATTTAAAAACCAGGCAACAAGAATAAAGACATATATAAAAACTTTAATAAAATTGTTCCATTTATCCAGTTTTTGTCTGCTTCAAACACAAAATTATAGCCCATACATCAAAACTTTTAAGAAGTAGCAAATATTACCAAAATAACTTAGACTGATATTTAGATGAACTGATAAAAAGCAAAGATGTTAAATGCTCCATTATGAAGAAAATGATAATTGGTTTTATGGTTAAATTTTAAAGGTGCAGGAATCAGGTACCCAAGGGTACCTACTGGATGACTCAAAGAACAACACTGAAGGCATAAATAATCCTGGAGAACAGAAAGCAGAGCCACTGTAGCCTCAGGCTGGGGTGCAAAGGAATGCAAGACAGCATAAAAGAATCTGGAAATGACAGAAATGCCCCACACCTGTTGGGAAAGAGGGAGACTACATGATGGCATACATGTGCTAAACATATCAAACATACTAACCGAGAGCCCACGGCACTCTATTTAAATTATACCCTCAGCTCAGAGGGTAAAGTGCTTTCCACAAACACATAAAGACCTGAATTCAGATCCTCAGCACCCATCAAAATGCTGTTGTGGGGCACACAACTATAATCCCAGTGCTGAAGAGATGAAGACAGGCAGATCCCTGGAGCTCAAAGGCCAGGCAGTCTACCCAATTAGTGGTATCAAGGTTAAGTGACAGAGTATCTCAAAAACAACTTAGGCAACAATTGAGGGAGATAGCCATCACTGACCTCTGGCCTCAACATGCAGGCACACATGTTTATGCACACCCACACACATGTGTGCAACCCCCCCCACACACTCATTTTTTCACTTAGACAATACAATATTCATTTGTAAGAAACCCAGAACACAACGCCTCACACATACCTGAGGCTGTGCCGCAGCAAGGTGGTACCCACCATGCAGATGAGAAGATGCTCGTGACCACATCAGGTGGAAAAAGTGTCACGTTTCTCTGAATCTGGAGCAAGTTCAACACTAAGGCAAGGAACACTCCAATGAAGAAGAGCACCACGCCTCGGATCACCACATTCACGCTCTGGCTGGTGATGGAGGAAATGTATGGGCCACGCTTTTTGGGCCCAGGTGACTCGGTCTTTCCTTCTGCCATGATTTCATAAGTTCAGTAGGCCTAAGCCATAAAATAAAATAAGGCTCCTCAGTAGAAGAGGTGAAGTGTATGTGAATCAAAGCAGATCGAAGTTTCAGTGGTACCACATCTTGCCTGAACGTGGAACCTACCAGAGACCCTACAAGAGATAAGAAGAAAGGATCAGCATGTGTTTGATATGATACATGTTAGTACAAGTTTTCACCCTTCAGTACTAGTTAAGCAGATACAGAATGAAACAACAAGTTTGTACACTAATTTTTTTAAATTATTCACTCAATAAGAAAATCCTTTAAAAGCCTTTATGTTCATGCTGAAAAAAATAAATAAAACAAAATAAAAAATAAAGTGCTATTTGTATATTTACTGGGACACATCAGGTGACTTAAGAGACCTCAGCTAGAGAGCTGGAGAGGCGGCTCGGCAGTAAGAGATCTTGCAGAGAACCCAGGTTCCCAGCACCCACATAACAGCTCCAGTTCTAGGAAGTCAATGCCATCTTCTGGACTCTGTGGACACCAGGCATAAACATAAAATAAAAACAAACCTTTAAAAGTAAAGACCTCACCAATAGGGTCCAAGATGAAAGCTCAGCTAGAAAAGTGTTTCCAGCACAAACATGAGACCCCGAGTACCACCCCCAGTATCCACATTTAAAATGCCTGGTGTGGTGACATGTACCTGTGATGCACGCCAGTGCTGGAGTACCACCCCCAACATCCACATTTAAAATGCCCGGTGTGGTGACATGTACCTGTGATGCACGCCAGTGCTGGAGTACCATCCCCAGCATCCACATTTAAAATGCCTGGTGTGGTGACATGTACCTGTGATGCATGCCAGTGCTGGAGACAGGGAGTCACTCTGATCCCTGGAGCTCACTGGCTGGCCAGCCTACTCCTATCTCAAAACAAGAGTGAAGGACTACAGAAGATAAACAGCCTACTCCTATCTCAAAACAACAGTGAAGGACTATAGAAGATACCCATTATCTTCTCTCTCTCTCTCTCTCTCTCTCTCTCTCTCTCTCTCTCTCTCTGCATTGAAACAATAGAAAAACAGCTTTCCCTATCCCAGAGAATAGACAATCAGGTAATTAAAAATACTTCTACTGGGATCTACAAGATGAAAACCCACATCTCTAGATCATCTGCCTAACATCCACTCCATCAGCTGCAATTTTGTACTTCTCAGAAAACCAACATAATCTGACTGAAGACCCTGTAGTTTCTGATAATAAAATGTGACTCGCCCTTTAGGACAAAAGGACCCATCCCCGTGTTTAATGCTCATGTTACTGAATAAACCAGCCCAACAAGCACCCACCTACACATACACCAGCAAGAAAAGCCAGACCTCAGCCACTCTTCCCAGGGCCACAGCTGTGCCCCCAATCTGCAGCAATGTGGTCAGGCAAGTGTTGCAAGCACTGGGTAACTATAATGGAGCTCAGGAAAAGTGCCAAGAGACTGCAACACAGCCCACTGACTACTTCTGAGGGTGAGCCTAGGTGTTTGTTCACTCCTCTAACAAAAGAACTGCTGGGGTCTCCCCAAAAGACTGCTGTGTTGGCAGTGTAGGCCTCACTGTGATGAGGCTGGGAGGTGAGATCTTTAAGGGGCAGCATCTAAACCTATAGGTGATGGTTGGGTAGCTGGGGGTTGGCAATGTTGATGATGATAAAGAATTCAAGGTCACCCTCAACTACATAGATGCCAACCTGGGCTAAAAGACATCTTTTAAAAGGAGGAGGAGCCACACCCACCCAAAAAAAAAAAGTTCTTAGGTAGCTGGGGGCTCTTCTGGGAGGGAAGGGTCTGTGAGGCCTCAGCATCTTTGCTCCCTATCTGGTGATATGATCTCACCCTCTCATCCACACTCCTGCCATTGAGACCCTTTAACAGAACACAAGTGATGCTAGCCAGTTACACCCTTGAATCTCCAGAATGGTGAATAAAACAAAACTGCTTTCCTTACAAAGTTAGCCTGCCTTCAGTATTTCCTTGCAGTAACACAAACTCATTAGTCACCGCATGTACCTTTCCAAACACCTGACATAGGCAACTCAACCCTCACAGTATCCCTACGAGGAGGTGTGACCATCCTGGACTGTACAGCGACATTGTCTCAAAACTAAGATAATAACAGTAATAATAACAACAACAACCCTGAGAGCTAAGTGTAATGAGAACAAAGCAAGGTTAAGTCTAGGTACTCGGATAAGAAGCATAGCCTGAATCAAATCCTTCATCCAACTCCCTTGCTCTCACCATGGTGATGAGCTTCTCAAACTGTCATTATCTTGTTCTCAAGGAACTAACAGTTTTGAAATGTGAAAACACTAGGTAGGCATGTTGCTTTGCCATTTATTTTCATCTTAACCAATTATACTACATCTTGGGCATCTCTGTAAGTCAGTAGAACCTAAGTGGTATGTCTTGTAAACCCGGAAACATTTTATTTGAATGAATTCATTTTATACGTGTGCGTGAGTGGGAGGGCTTGCCACAGTGCCCATGTGGAAGTCAGAGGACAGCTTTTGGGAGTCAGTTCTCTTCCACCATGTAGGTCCTGTGGGAGCAAACCCAAGTTGCCAGACTTAGCACAGTAGCCTTACCCGCTGAGCCATCTCACACAGACAGGACTTCTAATAGCTACCTCGTAATTATCTGTAGGACTGCTTTACGGGCTATAAACTTGTTAAGTTGGTCTTATTCACCATCAGATCTCCACTGTATCTCTGCATGCAGCAAGCTTCCTCCTGCTTAGCCCACAGGGATAGTTGCTCCACATAGTTTAAACCAGGTTCATTTTTCTAGGCTCACAATCTCTTGGGCTCAGCTCAGCAGTCCTTTAAAAAGCCAAATCTAGAACCCAATCATTTAAAATACACTGCCTCTAAGATTCAAATTTTCAAACTACCTTAAACGCAAATTTTGGAATAAAACTCATTGTCTAAATTTCGACTGGTGCCCAGCAAGATAGCTCAGTAGGTAAAGGGGTTTGGCACCAAGGCTGATGATCTGTGCTTGATCCCCAGAATCCATATGGTGGACAAAATGAACCAACTCCTGCATACTGTCCTCTGAGCTCTACACACATGTTGTGGCATGTGCATGCCCACACATGTAAGTACAGACACACAGAATAAATAAATGTAATGAGAAACGTTTAAAGAAACTACAATTATGAAACAGAAAAACCATAATTTTCAGTCCCATTTAATGAACACTTAAACAACAAACTTTGTTTTTTTAAGACAGAGTTTCACATAGCACAGGATAGCCAATGCTAGTCTTAAACTTCTGATCCTCCCACCCCGCACCAGCCCCCTTCTGAATGTACCCTACTCATCATAGAGCTGAGATAAAGTGTGCTACCAGATCCAGTTTGTGCAGTGTAAAGAATCAAACCCAGAGTCCAATCCTATGGAATAAAAATATAAATATACATCAAGATGAAAATCTGCTCTAAAATATAAAATAACAACAAGCAAACAAACAAAATACCACAACTGGCTCCCTTACACACTGCATGCAACCAACGGTAGACTCTAAGCAAGCATAAACACCCTCCCCCTCCCCACAGAGCATGGGCAACACAGAGTCAAGAAACCACTTGTTCTGCCTATAATCTTTTAAACAATGTGGAATTAACAGCAAGGTATACCTTCCTTAGGTTCAACCGTATTTCTAGAAGGGTAAATAACTTTAATCGGCTATCCCCATCCATTTCCAGAGACAGCTGGTCAGAAACTGCCAGAGAAGCCTTGGTGAGCTTAGGGCAGACGATCTCTTCCTGTGTGGAAACTGCTCTGAGCCTGGCATATTATTCAGCATCACTGGCTCCTGGTCACTAAATGCAGGCCTCCCCCACTCGTGATACCCACAGTATCTCCAAATACCCCAGGGAGATTCTGTCCTCCAGTGGGGGGGGGGGGCTGCTGCTTGCTGGAGACTTCTTTCCTCATTCTGCCAGTCTACTGTGAAGACATCCAGAGCTGCTCATTTGTGTTTACTCCCACTGCTATTTATTCAACCTTTCCTGGCAGCCCTTCTTCAATTTCCTACTTTACCCAAGTAAGTGTTCTTTAAAAATAACACAGCGTTTGTTTCATGTTTATTTGAAGCAGAACCAAAGGACTAACTGTGGTTACATCATAGCACAATGATACATAATTACCAGGAACAAAAATAAAGGCTACAATACTTCACGACCCATGTCCTAAAATTTAAGGACTGGAAGGGGGCCAGGAGACCATCTATCCCAGGGTGTATCTGAGCTTCCTGTGAAGTAAAAACAAAAATGTGTATGCATGCATTTTTTTCAGAGTTTACACACATACTCAAAATTCTCCGGTATCCAAAATCAACAATGGTCCATTAACCCAGGCAGGCAGAAAGGTGTGGTGGTCCAAGCCTGGGGAGGGAGGAGGAGAGAGAGAGAGGGAGGGAGGGAAGGAGGGAAGTATAATCAACCTAACTGCTCTCTCTCTCTCTTACTTTAATAATATCACAAAGTCTTCAGGAGATTTAACCAGATCAGAAAGAGTTAATTTGGCTGGGCATACTGGAGCAGGGATATAATCCCAGCACTTGGGAGGTGGAGGCAGGAAGATATGGAACTCAAGGTTGTTCTCAGCTACATAGTAAGTTCAAAGCTAGACTTGTGCACATGAGACACTGCCTAAAAACAAAACAAACAGCAATGTAGTTCTGGTTTTGGGGAAGGCTGGTCGTTTCTCCATCTTTTTACTACAATTACATATAAACAAGTATAATAACCAGGTTGGCCAAACAGACAGAAAATCCTAGGAAAGGTCTCACTACCACCTAGACAACAGTGAAGTTACTATTAAAAAAGAAACAACGTTTAATAGGCTGGTGAGATGGCTCAGAGGGTAAAGGAGCTTGCTATGAGAGCCTGACTGACAATCTACGTCAGACCCAGAATCCTAAAGTGGATGGAAAGAATCAACATCTCAAAGATTGTCCTGACATCCACATATGTGCTATCCCATGCAAACCCTCCCCCCCCACACACTGATGATCATACCAAAAATAAATTAAAATTTAAAAATAAAGTTTAGAAAGCATGCTTATAATCTCAATATTACACTAGGAGGGTGGGATATTTTAAAGGCT